CTCAAAAGAGTACATTTTAAAACTGAGGCAACAGTTTTATGCATTGTTTTTCAACCTTTCAGAGCATTTCAGTAAAGTAATAGAGTGCAGCCTATTTCATGTCATATGTGAGCAGTGTGGAATAGAACAAATAGAAATATATTAATGTTACCAGTGGAATAGAATAGCTAAATAATTTGTGCGTCCCGTTTTACTGGAAAATTAACTGCAGTAGTTCATGATATTAGGACTGCAATCCTCACTCACCTTTGACTCCTGGATAATTTAGTCGTGATATCACTTACTTTCCAAATTGTTGATAACACATTCCTGTTTTCATTTACCCCTGGATAAGACAAGTTTTGATGAGATCAATTGAAATTATTGCTTGTGATATGCCATACAACAATGATATTTTGCAGGCTATTTGGCTCATGATGTTTTTCTCCATACAAATCACCCAGTCAAATCCAGCTCATTCCATCACCCTTGAATATTCCTCCTCTTCTAGCATTTAGCTAATTCCTTTTAAAAGAATGTATGGATTCTGCCTTAACAATGATTTATGGCAGAGAATTCCACATTCCAACCACCTTCTGTGTAAAGAAAGGGTTTTGTGGATAAATTTTGTAATCAAATTCAGATCAAATTACAACAATCGCCATCAAAGAGCTTTTTTTCTATTTAAAGCCGGAAGAAAAGCACTCAGATTTGATTGTCTAGGTGCTTCTTTCTCCCTCTGAAGGCTCAAACCCAGATCAGATAATAATCCATTTGCAAGTATTCAAAGTCTTCACAATCTTTCAAAACTTAATATGTATTGAGGAACATGATTTTATGCCTTAATTCAGAAAACGTTGTGAAAAAAAGTAAAAGTTTATACTTTAACTTGTTCTTCTAGATTCCAGATTTTGAATCCAGATTCTAGATTTGTATTGAGGTATCTTGGCGACATGATAAGGCATTATTTTAACAAATGCAAATACAAGGACTATTATTTATTTTCTTATTTGTGCCTTTTATGGATCGCTAGCCACATTTTTTTCTCCCTGGTATTATATCAAATTCATCAACAGCTGACTCATAACTACTTGTGTGGTTTCACCCGTCTCCTCCCCCTATATCCACTCTAAGGCCAGCAGGAAGAAATCGAGAAGGTTGGATCTCCCCTAGTGGAGACCGGTTAGGAAAGTTTAGTGGTTATCAGTGGGTAATTCATGGATACCAGTCTGCAACCACTGGACTTCACTGACCAGGGGGTGGCAGGTTTGAATGATGTCCTGTAATGTCATAGCTGTCTGACACATGTGGAAACCCATCACTATGCTTAAGAGTATCCAAACCAAACTGAGAGTTCCACATATGTATGCCATTTACACATAGAAATTACCTTGGAACGGAATGCACTCTCACTTCCAAGAGGCACACACTGTTTACCTAATTCCAGAGAGTAATAGGCAAAGGTTGGTAAGAACCAAGGCTTGGGGACTCCAGCGTGTGGGATACTGTTAGAGGTCAACAGCTAAAGTAGCATAACTTACCATTGAAAGTACTGTCTGACAAAGCTTCTTGCTTCTTGTTCAGCTAGGACCACCCTACAACTTGCGTATAACCCCCTTCATACCGTATAGTGTCTCGGAACGTATTAGAGCTTTGGCTTGCAGAGTAAGCAGGAGATGAGTGGGACGAATCACTGCATCAAGTGACTGGGGTGGCCATCCAGGTCCAGCCAATGAGTCAGGTTGGCTGTTGTGACATTGGTAATGCCTTGGAGATCTATAGACATGCCCGGTTCAGGAACAGGGTGACCCAAAACTGGCACAGAGGATTGACTTGGTTCTGACATTCCATTGCCAAGCATTTCACCTCCAAGAAAACCCCGCTCAGAGGACATTCACTATATATTATACTAGCTGTACCAACTGCAGCTAAGCTTGTAACCAAAGGATCCGATATGGAATGTAGATTTCAGTGATACCACTCACAAACCATTTAACATGCCGTGAACACAGTGTGTATTGGTATAATTAAGAAAAACTGCCATACATGTGCGATGAGCTTGTTTGGGTCATAGCTCATCAACGATAGAAGATCTTATCTACGTTAGCCAAAAGCGTTTACTGTGCGATCTGACAGGTCGTCGAGTTATTGCATTACAGCCGTGCTATTCTTTGTTCTTCACTTTCATTTAATCTTCTTTCTTTTGTCTGGCATTTTTATTTGTACTTGAAAAGCTTGTTAATAATATAATCCTTGCATTTAATATAGCACCTTATCACGTCATTGAGACGCCTCAAAGCGCTTCACAGGATATACTGTAAGGTATAGTGACTGTGTGTTTTGTGGGTGAAACGCAGCAGCCAATTGCGCACAGCGACGTGCCACAAACAGTCATGGTTTGAGTGAACACACACAAATAATTATCCATGCATTTGATACAGCGACCTTACCACACCACATACACACATGCACACAGACACACACACACACACATACCTCTGTCACTGTCAGTTTTTCTTCTGTCTCAAGTTCCTGGATGAGTTTGGGAAAATCCACATTTCCATAAGGAGAGAGAATATCTGAGAGGAAATCCAGGTTGAATAAGAGCTTCTGCCTTGTTGATGAATGTGTCTGTTGTGCAAAGTTGGTAGATATATTTCAGGAGATCAGAGCAGTTTGAATAGGTGACATCAGGCATTTGAGTGAAACTTTCTGAGTCTTAATAGTGACATTATCTCGATATATTGGTTAATAGCCTCCAGAGGGGGAGGATTCCTGGGAGCTGGGGAAATGGATGGAGGATTTTGTGTGACGATGGATTTGAATGGTTCTTTGATGTTCGCTTAGGTATCTTTATCTTGTTCCTGCCACTTGGCTTTGTCTGAGTGTGTGGGTGTGCATATGTGCTCTGTGACACATGATGTCAGAGCGCCACTGGGAGTCGACGTGGCCACTAGCTGTAACTGCAACACAAAACTGCCATACATGTGTGTTGAACTTGTTTAAGTCATAACTCATCAACGATATGAGATCCCTGAAAGAAAATATACCCATGACACTCCCAGATGCAAGGCCTTTCAAATGAGGCATAAATCATGTCTCTATGTCAATCTGTTATTGAGATCTTGGCTGACACACAGACAAACATTGGTATTATAAATAATTAGTGTAGATATATAATATTAATTTTATTAGTATAGCTATATAATATAATAATCCTTGCATTTGATCTAGGGCTTTATCACGTTTTTTAGACGTCTCAATGCGCTTCACAGAATATACTGTAAAGTGAATTGACTGTATATTTCGTGGGCGAAACCGGCAGCCAATTATACACAGCAGTGACCCACAAAAATCGTGGATTGACTGACAAAATTATTATTTTTAAAAAAAATTGGAAGGGATTATTAGCCCCAGAAAAGCAATCAACCAATCAACTAACATCAGGGTTCCTACTGACTGCTAAGTAAACAGAGGAGTGTGGAGTAAGGAAACTTGCTTAAGGTTTCGCCCTGAGATACCAACTAGAGGAATCTGTAAAACTACCCTAGTAGAAGGAAAAAGTTTCAGACATTTGAAGGAAAGGCAGGGATAACATTTGATTTGTTCAAATCACTTAGAAATTTGAAATAGTTTTATGAACTAAACAAGGTAAGTCAACTCTTCAGGGACTTGCATTAATTTGGAGCATGGTGACCTGAACTCAATTTGATTCCCTTGGGTTTACAGCCAGGCTTTCAGTTTATACCATGGAACCTATTTGAATTCATGCTAAATGCAAGTTCTGACATTTGTTCTTTGGTAAAAGTAGTGGGAGAATTGTATCACACATTTTCAGAAACCTGTTGCAAGTCTCTGGCTTTGTATTCAGCATTTGTACCAATGAGGATTGCAAGTGTTTTTAATCCAGTGTGCATTCAGGGCAACGTTTCTGGTGGGTGCACATGCAACATGTTCATTATAGATTCATAATAGATTTACATCTTCCTTTAGCTAGAAAGGTCACATATACATTAAAAAAAACTACTTCTGTAGTTCTAAAAATGTTCAGGTATTTTGGGTGTGCAATTTGTTCAGATGAATGTGTAACATTGTGGAAGTTTAACTGAACAGGTTTAATGACTGATTGATGTGAGTCCCGCTGATGTGAGTGTGTGGCTGACACCAGAATGAGGAAGAGTGTTGCTGGCACCATTATGTGGACAGAATATATCTGGTACTCTAGCACAGGCAGGAAATGCAACATAGTGAGATCAGAACATGGTTGCTATAATGGGAGCAGAATGCAACTGGCACTATGCAGAGGGCAGAATATGGCTAACAGCATAAGGCACACAGATTGTAGCTGACACTAGTTCAGACAGGATGTGGCTGGCACTGCAGGATCAGTAGAATGTAGTCAGTCGTATAGTCAGAGTAGAGTGTCATTGAGTACTGTGATTGCTGGAAGGGTTAGGGAGGTCAGTATTCACAGTAAGAAGCCATGGTGATCAGTAGATTTGTGAAAGTTCATGGGTGGCTTGTTCAGGGAGGTATTTTGGAAAAGTAAGTGTTTTGGGGTATGTGGGAGTCATTGTAAACTCATATGAATCTTGTGTTTGTTCACCTTCAGCGTGTGGAAGAGAATCAAAAGACTGTTGCAAGAGGATTCCACTTTGTAGCACAATAATGCATCAATGTGTGTGTTCATAAAATGAATCCTGACAAGTGAATAAAACAGGTTTATGTTCAATTAATGGGAGTTGACTGTACAAAAGCTGCTTCCATCTAAGAATGTTACTCTCTTGTATGCAATAAGTAACATAAGCAAATGTGATTTATGATTTCCAATTTGACTTTCATTATGTATACTATTATAACCTTAAAATGGATTTATTTCAGTAACCATAATAGTTATCAAAATAATTTTTTTGTTTATCTCGTCACTAATGAAGCCAAAATTCTGCTTACTTCAGAGTCAAACTCCTTCAAAGCACATTACAAAACTGAATCCAGTTGTGCCTTTTCTCTCTGTTTTATAGATGATTATTCGATTGAAGAAGGAGATTCAGCAGCTGAAGGATGAGCTAGTCATGATCACAGGACAGCAGAGAACAGACAACCTCTCACAGGAAGAAAAGCAGAAGTAATTTTCCTTTTACCTCGAACAACAGTGATTATATTCTTGATTACTCAATTAGTTTTTTTTCTACTTTTACTTTCAGCTTAACTTGGTTGTATCACTTTCATCTCTGGGTCATAAAATCATAGAATTTTACAGCACAGAAGGAGACCATTCGGCCCATCGTGTCTGTGCCGACTCTTTGAAAAGAGCTATCCAAATCAGTCCCGCTCCCCTGCTGTCTCCCCATAGCCCTGCAAATTTGTTCTCCCCAAATAATGATCTACTTCTCTTTTAAAAGTTGTTATCGAATCGGCTTCCACCATCCTTTCAGGCAATGCATTCCACATCCGAACAACTAGCTGTGTGAAAAAATTTCTCCTCACCTCTGTTTCTTTTAACAACTATTTTAAATTGGTGTCCTCGGGTTACCGACCCACCCGCCAGTGGAAATAGTTTCTCCTTGTTCACCCTATCAAAAGGGGCAAAAGGTTGTTAGTTGCAACCCCAAATTGGGACTTGAGAACATACATCAAATGCAAGGATTATTATTAAATGTGCTGAACAGAACTTATAAAATATACGTTATTTTCATAAGAACATAAGAATTTGCTAGGCAAAAGACCAAAGTCCATCTAGTTCGCCTTCCACCATCCTGGCAGTCGCTGGACATGTGTCCCAAACTATATACTGTATCCTGAGATATTATTTTCATGGAATTCCCAACTACTCAATCTTGAAGTCTCTCCGCTAGACCCTCCTCCCCGCCTCCAGAAGATAACCCCCTTCTCTCATGTATGTCCTAACTCTCTTCCTCCCCCAAACTCCACAGTTGCCTTCCCCCCACAAACCACAACTCCTTCCTGCTCGCTCCCTCATCACTGCCCACTGTTACATTGCCCTCCAAACTTTCCGCTCCTTGTACCACAAAGCTCTCACTATCCACGACCGCATCTTGGATGAGCATTTCGATCTCCCTTGGGGTTTAAAGTGCTTTGAGATGCTATTCCGTGTGAAGGGTGCTAATATAAATACAAGTTGTTGTTATAGTTGTTACAGTAGCTCAGTGCACAATCCTATAGCTCAGTGGTTAGAGCACTCGTGTCACAAGCGAGAGAATCTGGGTTTGATTTCTGGGCAGGGCGAAACATTGGGCAAGTTTCCTTACTCCACACGTCTCTGTTTATCTAGCAGGAAATAGTAACCCGGTTGAACCCAAAATATAGTTAATTCAATTCACAGTATATTCTGTGAAGCGTTTTGAGATGTCTGGAAGAAGTGATAAGGAGTTATATCAAATGCAAGGATTATTATTATTATAATATGTTTAATATAGTTAAAAGATCAAGAAGAAGAGAAAAGGTAAGCCAGGCTCAGATTTAAATATTTTCCACAAAGAGTGGGTAGATATACGGGATACCCGAGGAGGCTCTGGGGTAGATTGTGTCAATTCACCCAGATTTGCTAGAATAACAAACATCACTTGCTACAAAGTCATTTTTTGTGCAAAACACTGAAACATTCTGATGCATAAAATGTCATGTTACAAATCTGTCACAAACTATCAATTTTCCCCTTCTGCTGAATTCTAAGCTTCTGTGCTTTTGGATCTGTCAGATCGCACCGCGATGCACATTTGATAATACAAATGAACGGTCTCATGTTCCCGCCATTGTTTAACAAGGATTAACCATTTGCAGAAAAAGTATTGAGTAGATTTGTTAGCTATTTTACTTTTATGACATTCAGATACTCAAAAAAGAAATGTAGGCCACAACCTTATGGGAGTTTTTGAAGCAACCACCTCTGCAGCAAAGACCTGAAGCAAAGACCTGCCTAGGAGTTTCACAGAGAAACAACACAGTGAACATTTTGCAAATATATGCCAATGAACTTTTTAAGATTAGCCAGTGATACAATTGGTGTAAATCAAGTTACAAGCATGTGGATGTAAAACTGTCAGCTCATCTTTGAGCTAAATTGAATGCAGGTTTTCTTGGAAAATAAGCAGATAAGACGGAAGCTTCGCAAATAGCACATTCCTCACACTGAAAATGCCTGCACTAATGAAATACTGGACAGGTATTAATGACCGGAAGGAGAATTGTGGCAAACTAAACTACAGGGTCCTGTTAAATACACAATTTCTTCACTGGATGAACCCGATTATAAAAATAAATTTGTACCTCCACAGTCCTTGGCACTTGTCCAGCTCAAATTTTAGGGCTTTGGTTTAAGATATGTCAACGCCTTCTTCGATGAGCCATTAACAATGTTTTGGATCACTATGGACATCACTTTCCCAGGCTTGCCCCTTCAGGGCCAGTTCAATGCATGAGATTCTATTAAACATATCATCTCAAGCTTAACCAAGAGCTACCCAAGCTGTTTAATATCATGAATTTCTTTATTACCATTTTGAGGTTAGTCTGAACCTTTCAGATTAAATACCATAACCAATAGGTTTCTAATAATTATTTCCATACCATCATAATAATAATCCTTGCATTTGATATAGCCCCTTATCATGTCTTCTATATATCCTATCTTTCCACCATTATTATTATTCCCTCTCCCTTTGTTCTGAACGCCTAGACGATTTAAAACTTCACTTCACCTCCAGGAGGTCTACCTCTGCTGACTTATCCTCCCTTAATCTCTCCCTTCACATCAACTCCTCCACCCATGTCCGCGGTCACCCCGTCGACCTGGTGATCACTCTGGGCCTCACCGTCTCGGACCTCACCATCTTCGACAAAGCAATCTCGGATCATCACTTAATTTCCTTTAAGTCCTCAATTCCTCTCCTCACCACCACCCAACCCACTTCCATCTCATATCGCCCCTGGAAAAAAATTTCCCCCCCTCGGCTGCTTTGGAGTCATCTGAACTCCTTCCCCTCTGGGCGTCCTCCCGCAATGACCTAACCTCCTCGGTCACCCTTCTCCACAGTTCCCTCTCCTCCACTCTCGATTCCCTCGCTCCCCTCTCTTCCTGAACCGTCTCCTACTCATGAAAATCACCTTGGTACACCAGCCACCTCCACTCCCTTAAAGCCCAGGCATGTTCCACTGAGCGCACCTGGCTTAAATCAAACCTAATGGTCCATCAGCAGATTTGGCTGTCCTACTGTTCCGCCCTCGCCTCCGCTAAATCGATGTTCTACTCCAAGACAATCTTGGAGGCTAAGTCTCCTCTTCTCCATCAGGCTCCTCCACCCACCCTCTCACGCCTCACTCATCCTCACCTCAAATGCAAATGCCAGCTGCAAGGCGATGCTGGACTTCCTCGAATCCAAAGTCGAGGGAATCCACTCAGCTGCCTCTGCCACTGCAACTGCTACCCCCTCCCCATCTCCTCCTCCCATCCCAGCCCCTACCCATCCCTCCTTCCACACCTTTAAACCTATCTCCCCCTCCTCTCTCATCACCACCATAACCTGTATGAAACCCACCATCTGCTCCCTCGACCCCATCCCCACCCCCATCCTTACCTCCCAGCTCCATCTCCTTGCCCCTTTACTCACTGACATTGTTAACCTCTTCCTGTCCTCTGGTACCGTTCCCACCCCTTTTAAAAAAAAACTCTTGTCATCACTCCTATCATTAAAAAACCCTCCCCTACTCCCTAACTACCGCTCTATCTCCAACCTCCCCTTCCTCTCCAAGGTCCTGGAACGAGTTGTTGCTTCTCAGCTTCGCTCCTTCCTCTCCCGCCACTCCCTTCTCGAACCCCTCCAATCGGGCTTCCGTGCCGCCCACAGCACAGAAACAGCCCTGGTCAAAGTGACAAATGACATTCTATCCATCTGCAACCAGGGCTCCCTCTGCCTCCCTCGTTCTCCTTGACCTCTCTGCTGCTTTCGACACCATCGATCACTCTATCCTCATCCACCCCTCTCCTCTCACTTCAAACTCCCCAGCACTGTCCTTGATTGGTTCAGATTGTATCTCTCACACTACCTGCACTTCATCTCCTCAAACAGTTTCTCCTCTACCCCCCGCACTGTCTTGTGCGGCGTTCCTCAGGGCTCCTTGGTCACCTCCACTTCAATATCTATACGCTCCCTCTTGGTGACATCATCCGCAGATATGGGTCAACTTCCACATGTATGCGGATGACTCTACCTCTCTGCCTCCACCTTTGACTCCAGGCCACTGCTGTCCTTACTGAATGTCTGTGGGACATTAAGTCCTGGATGAGAGATAACTTTCTTCAGTTGAACGTCAGCAAGACCGAGGCTCTCCTGATTGGCTCCCATCAGCGCCTCCTCACCTCAGGTCCGGCTCCGACACTGTCTCACACCGCAGGCCACCGAAACCCTCATACACACCTTCATTACATCAAGGCTCGACTATGCAAACTCACTGCTTGTCGGCCTCCCCAACTCCTCCCTCCACAGGCTGCAGATCATCCAGAACTCTGCAGCCCGTTGTCCTCTCCCGCACCAAACTCTGTGACCCTATCACCCCCATCCTTGCCCAACTCCATTGGCTTTCCATCACACAGAGGATACAGTTCAAGAGCCTGGTCCTCACCGCGAAGCCCTCCACGTCTTGCTCCCCCTTACCTCTCCTGTCTCCTAACCCCCTATCACGGTGTTCGCTCCCTCCGCTCAGCGGGCTCCGGTCTGCTTCACGTTCCCCGCCTTGCTCGCTCCACTATCGGTGGGCTGGCCTTCCGCCACTCTGCACCCACCCTCTGGAACTCCATCCCGCAGTCCCTCCGCCTCGTCTCCCTCGCCACCTTCAAGACCCATCTCAAGATCCTCCTCTTCGACCGTGCTTTTGATCTCCCTGCTTCCCCCCCTGCCATCCACCCTCTCCCCCTCCCCCGATCCTCAGCTCTGTCTGTCCAGCACCCTGGGACATCCTCCCGATGTGAAAGGCGCTATACAAATGTAATTTTGTTTTTTTGTTGTTCTACACATCCCAAAACGCTTCATAGAATATACTGTAAAGTGAATTGACTGTATATTTTGTGGGCGAAATGCAGCAGCCAATTGCGCACAGCAGTGTCCTACA